GTGACGTCACCACGGACCTCTAAACGCCTGCTTCCACTTCAGTTTCTATTGACTTGATTTCTTCGACAGACCCCCTCCTCCTCCTCCTCCTCCTCCTCCCCCCCCTCCTCCTCACCTCCTCCCCTCCATCACCACCACCTTCCTCCTCCTCCCTCGGTTTACTGCAGCCTCTGTCACTCACTCCTTTTTTTTAAAATATATATTTATATATATATATTTTTTTAATTTAATCACTTGAACCTCTGCCAAAAAAAAAAAAAAAACTGCACCCAGTTCAGCTTCACCGCCTCCTGACTGACTGCAAGAGAATAACCCACTGCTCCTATTATTATTATTATTATTATTATTATCAAACCTGCAGAAGAAACATGGCTCTGACAATACCAGCCTTGCCTGCACCGATATTTATTTTTATTTTTTTTAAAGGAGGTGGTGGTGGGGCTGTATGTTAGCAGCAGACCGCCAGGCGATAATAAAGAGAGAGAGAAAGAGAGAGAGAGAGAGAGTCGCCTGCTCCTCCGGTTGACTGCTGCTTTGTCCTAAATTCAGAGCATTATCCGGTTCAGGCTGAAAAACGCTCGCTGCAGCTTGTTTTTCTCAATGCACAGCGCCTCGACGCCATGAGCTGCTACTACTACTGCTGTGCAGTGAATGAGGTGGGTCGAGACTTGAAAAACAAAACTAGTACTACTATTTATTTTTAAATTAAACAATAGAAAAAATACACAGAACATCTTGTTGTGCAGCAGTTATATAGCTAAATATAATTTATAGGTAATATTTTAGGTTGTTTTTTCCTCTCTCTACAGCTCAGTATGAATTAACAAGCACTGACTGGGTTCTTTTTTATTTTTTTTAGATACTATTTTCCTGCCTGTGTTGATAGAAAAAGAAAGAGAAAAAAGGCGGCTCCATTAGCCAGTAACCAGGAAGCTCTGTCATGAGGTGGGGATTTCCAGCCAGTGTGTTGTAAACTTGAATGGATCGGGGGTTACAGCATGAATATAGCTCAGCCCACATTTTATTCTAGTGCACAGAACAGTCAGTCATCCAGACCTGCCACCACTAAATGAAATTACACTGGAGTGAATCAGCCATTCAGACTTTTTTTTATTTTTTTTTTTAAAGTTAACCATCAAGCTGAGAAGATAAAGGAAGTATTTGTACCACAAGATTATTGACTTACACTATTCTGCTCAATGTTTAACATATGATGTGTAGGGAAAACAAACTATTATAAAACAAAGTCATACGCCAAAAACCCAGCCAAAAAAATCCCCCTGAAGTAGAAAGTGTGTAGGTTTTGAACTGGAGTAAATGTCCCAGTAGTTCAGATTCCTCCCTCGCACACTCATCTGGGCTCATTCCAACTCGTTGCAGCTTAGCCTCGGGGCTTTGGGGTGAGGCAATGCGTCTGTAACCTGCAGACACAAAGCAGGATATGTTTGTGCAAGTCCATGTGACGTTTGGAAAGAGGAAGCAAGATGTTTAGTCACGTACCCTCATCCGCCTCACCCATCTACGGGGACATCAGGCCACTTGGCCTCCCGCCTGCGGCCGCGATCACGCACTGTGGCATGAGGCGTCTCTTCAAAGGGCTTCCATAGACTAAATAAGGCAAGTTGATGTGTTGCCACCAATCACATATAATTGTAGTGCAGTTGCTGTATGATTCTTTTTTTTTATTATTGTTTCTCTGCAACATGTGAATGAGCACACCTAACATTGCAACACAATAATATTCCCTTTAGGACACTCGTTTCCCTTCTCTGCTTTCACTCAGATCTCGGCCCATGTTGGGTGAACAACACTAGGAAGTGTTGGTAAGGCTTTTATGACACAGTTAGGAAATGACTGTTGTTATTGAGTGGCAAAAAATAAACAAATTCTTTTCCATAAGATTGGTGGGAAACAGTTGCCTAATGCTTTGATCCTTTTACTTTCCACTCAGTCGATGTTTGTGCAAGCAAATAGCTACACACTGTTATGCAAGACGGAGGCATGCTGAGATTCAATTAAATCCTAAATGACCCCGAATCTATTATAGGAAGATCCATTGATTAAAAAAAAAAAAAAAAAACTGTGGCTGCAGAGAGAGGGGGGGGGAATTTGTACAGAGGCGACAAAAAAAGGTCTGAGAGGAAAAGCCAGACATGCACAGATGGCTCTGATTGGCAGTATGAACCATGTATACAGCAAAATCACCACAGTGTGACCCGGATGACAGCCGTTGTGTATGACCACTAAAAACCCAGATGGAGTAAGTGTACGTGTAACGTCTTGTACTTTTTTTTTTTTTTTTTAAAGCGGTATGTAAATTGAGACATGAAGCAGCTAAATAAAGAGTGAGAGGTAGGTGACGGCCAGGGGAATACCCAGCATGTGACAGCATCGCAGGCCCCGACAAGATGACGTTATTTTTGTTCTATCGCTTTTCCTGAGCCTGTTAAATTTTATATTGGCCATCTTTTATTCATGGAAGCGAATCATTACAAATTCTCTCTGAAGTTTTGTTCTGCCTAAGCAAGAGCACACACACACACACACACACACACACACACACAGCTCACTGGATGTTTTCTCACTGTTTTTCTCTCCTCCATGAGAACAACATTCGTGTTATATAACCCTTTTTCAGCACAACTGCTGAGGTGGGCATTCAACTAAACTGTAACATGTTGCGCAGACATAAAAGGAGGTTATAACAGGACACTGAGAGGACATATTACTGAAGCTAAGCAGCTGTTGTGTGTGCGACCTGCCTTGTAGATTAATAGCTGCACAGAGTGGCAGAGGTTGGAAAATGTCAGGAGAGTGAATGTAAAGACTAACATGCTGCACAGAGTTCCTGTGTCTGTAGCAGGGAGAGGTAACCATGGAGATTATCACAGTACCCCAACTACCATATATATCCTGTTTACGGTGCTATTTTTAGCCACAGATTTGCACAGCCAGGATTAGACCATAGATACAATTTAGGGAGACTTGAAAGATAATGTCAAAGCATCCGTCTGTCGTATTAGCTGCCTCCTGTTTTTTTTTTTTTTTTGTTTTTTTTTTTACATTTTTTATTGATTCTCCGAACGGCTTCTCTCCTGGTTGTAGAGGAATGATGTGCAGCATATGCACGGGAACACACACAAAAACAAAAGCAGGCATTCCTTAAGGAAGTCTGTTTTGATATAGGTATAAAATGGTGGAATTCAAATAAAATGGAGGGTCGACGGCGAAAGGGAAAAATGTGCTGGGCGGCTGGAATCTGGGGGCTGGAGGCTGCAGAGGTGATGTCATTGGGCCAGAGCAAGAGGCGAGTGAAAAACAAGTCTCTCTCTTTATTCTGATCCTCTTTGCAGTTGCAGTGGGGGTGGGGGTGGGGAGGGCTGGCGGTCGGCCAAGGCAAGGGCTGCTGGGAAATGGCAAAGGATGCCAAGCAGGCCCCACCGCCAACATTAGAAGCTCACATCTTTGTTCTCAGAAACCTGGTGTGCTGCCAAAGGCCTCATTTCGGCTCCATGGCATGATTACACTGGATGTAGGCCAACTACTGAGAGCTTGCTCGCTCCCTCCCTCCCTGTCTCTTGCTCTCCCTTTATGCTCCCTCCCTAGGCTCTCTCTCTCTCTCTTTTTCCACTGCCTTCAAAAGCTTTCTGCCAAACATGCAGCAGTTGCCATGGCTGCAGAGAATGGAACATAAAAAAGTGAGTAATGAGTCAGGCTTGGACCCAGATGTGCCACATGTGTAACCATTTAGAAAAAAAACAAGATGGTAACATATCCCCTTAATCTGCCGGGCTTGTCAGGGGACAGACGAGTCAGTAAATAGCAAAAAGGGCCTGGGAGGGGAAAGTGGAGGAAACAATCCCCACAGAAAAATGTAAATGAGCGTTGTTTTCACATCCATTTTTAAAAACAGAAGGTAGTTTCAGTAGGCGGAAGTGTAGGTTTAATTTTGGCAACCAGGAACAGAAAGACCTCAACTCTGCTTCTGTAATGCTGCGCTTAAGTAAGCATGCATGCATTGTGAGCTGACGACATAATTTCCTGTCCACTGGAAACCCCCCCCCCCCCAGACATTTTCAGTCACAACCAGACATTGATGTAAACAAACTTTCCCTGGCCTCTTGTAGCCGAATCAGCATAGTTTCACATAGTTTGAACTCCTTCAGCTTAGGTGGTCCAGTTAATAAGCTGCTATCAGAATGAGTAACATAACCTGCACATATAAGTGGCTTCTTACTTATTGCCCTTAAAAGGCTGCTTCACGCCTGACTCATAGTTGTTATGTTTAGCATGCTGTACTGAGGCCATGCAGTCATTCCAGCTTTGTGACCAACTCAGCCAAAATTTTCAAAATGTCATTCTGCTGCATTCACACACACATATATTTATAATTCCCTGAAGGACAGTATCGTCCACAGCCACTCCTACAGAAACACTGCATTAGTTTCTGTACAGCTGGTTTGTTCTTACGCCCCGACTGATCCTCAAACAAACTCCAGAGAGACTTGACACATCCGGCTTCATTACAAGGATCTTTGTAGTGCGTACAGTAGTATGAATATGTATGTGCAGCAGGCGTGTGAAGCTTGCGTGTGTGTTTATATGTGTTACAGGAACGTTTATATTTGGACACATAGCAACTTATCTTGACAAAGGTTAGTTTTTTTTCTGGTTGAGCCAAAAGGAAAGAAGGAGTATTTCATGTGTTATGTAACCTCCTCCTCTGAGCCAAAATAAAACTTTCCCAAAGTAGGCTTATTTATTAGTGGAGCTCCTGTCTATTTCTGAGCAGCCTCGCTAGAAAATGGACTCTGACATCCCCGGCGCAGCACAGCACTCGGGATGTCGTATATTCAAGTGCGGGCATCTTTTTCACATTGCTCTTGTCCTTTTCTGCCATTTGGTTAAAAAAAACCCCAAGTGATTTGCATTTACTCTTTTGCATATATTAATTCAGCCAAACAGTTGCATAAAACCCTGGTGAATAATACATACAAATATGAGTGAACATGCATATTTATATCGCCTTTTATTTAGAAGATATTTCAGGGTTGCTATTGGAAGAAGATCAAAGCTACTCCTTTTCTAGTAATGTTTGCCTTGAAAGCAAAAGGGTGTATTGAAACATTTCTGTGATGTATAGAATACAAAATATCGTGACTGCGAGAGGAAGGACAAGCCAAGAATAGAAAATACTGACCCAATTGGAAAACCTCAAGTCTCTAAATGTTGGGGGAAATTGTTCATAGATAGCGTGTGGCTTATTCAGATCAGGAAAGTAGGGAAGATCATGGATAAATGCAACTGTAACGCATCGTTTACAGATGTTGTGGTTACATTTGGAAAGTGATATTTCTTTTTTTTTTTTAAACACATTTACTTGGAAACAGCCCCCTTATTTTTGTAGTGGTCATAAATCAGCCGAGGTTCCCGTCCTGGATTCCTCGGATGCTTCAATGCCCTCTCTTTGATTGTCTGGTTTATGGTGGATGTTTCATCATATGCCGTTAGTGTCTGTGCCAGAGTTGTCCTTCCTCCCCTTTCCATAAAAGTGCAAGTTGTCACGATGGTGTGGCATTCATTATCCGCCTGTGGTTTTGCGGACTCTGGCCGCTGAGCAGCTGGGGAGCATTGGTTGTCACATTCAGCCTCCCGCCACGGTGAAAGATGGGAGGGCAGGAGATGATTGCTGTCCCCCCTGTCTGTGTGATAAAGCCCCCTTAAAACCACAGTGTCTGGGCATCTGGGCACACGATGCCTCGCCTCCCTCATCCACTTCAAAGCCTTGCCTCAGAGAACAGCTCGCCGAGAGGAGCTGAAATAGAAAATGGAGCTGGAATGCCAAGTACAGCCGTGTGTTTGTGACTTCACAGAGAGTTTATTACAAATGTGTGTCTTATTGTCATACTTTTGGTAATTAATTATATCTGTTGTGATGATATACTCAAAAAAGAGATGTGACAAAGAGCAGTAAGACATGCTGTGAACAAGTCAAACATTTATCAGAAGGTAAAAATGAAAGTCGCACTCTTATTGTCGTACTCCAAAATTCCTAAAATGCGCTATCTGCCTTACTCATTGTATGCTCTGCTGCCGTATAAGCAAGTTAAGCAACGGCTTCCCAAACTTTTTCATGCCAAGGAAATCCACTCCCCTCTTCACAGTCAATGATCAAACTAGGATCAGTATGAATTACAGTCAACAATATTTCCACTGCGTTGTTAACTTTACTAACATAAAATGTAGAAAAACAGTGAACCATGCTGAACATATAATCATAACAACACACTAATATACTAATAATCTAAGAAGTTATGGGAAGAAGCATTTTGGATTAAATGTCACTGATGTAAGAAATTATTCTATTTAAAGGTAAAATGCCACTTCGTACCTTACAATAAAGTTAGCTTGTCACTTCAGTGAGGCTGTGCAGTCTGTTAATCTGACGCCTGTAAAAAATACTTATATAATGCTACTTATTTTAATCCAAACCATTATCTTTTCCTAGAACTAACCAAACTGCCACCTTTTTCACAACGTTAACCACCAACAATTTCCTCCTTTCCAGCACGTCCAAATACACAAAGGTCCAGTGTGTCGATTTAGTGGCATCAAGCAGTGTAATTGCAGATCGCAACTGTCGCTTCTCCCCTTCCTTTCAAGCATGAAGGAGAAACGATGATGGCCGCAAAACGTCCCTATCTAGAGTCAGTGTTTGAACAGTATCCACTAATGAAAACATACCTATGAAATATTGTATTCGGGTTCTGCCAATAGATCCTCATGAATGGACCTTTAAGGGTAAACAACTACAGGGAAAGTGTTTTTTTTTTGGAGAAACAGGCCTTTGGAGTAATGGGAATTTGTTTTGGGAATAACGGGCCGTCGAAAAATGGGCTTTCGGTCCAGTGGGACATTTTGGGACTTTTGAGATTTCGGAATAACGGGCAGTCCCAGAGAAACCACGAATAAAAATAAATATAACATTGAATCTGCAACATATTTTTTTGTGGTTGAAAGAATTCAATGAATGGAAATGTTATTACTCATAAGAGTGATGGCCCAAGTAAGACCCAGTAATTAATAAATACTCTCAGTCCTTATTGTTTTGTACCAAAACGAAAGTGATGACAACCTTTATTTAGGAACTTAAGATTACCTTACCTCAACTTGAACTTCATCTATGACAAACTCGTTTTGCAACAAAGACAATGATAGATGTTGTCATACACACAGTCATTATTCCTAACAGGCACATGGTGGATAGTTTAGTCATAGTCACCACAACATGCTCCGCTGCAGTGGTACAATAATACTGTGGGAAGTACACGGAATGAATAGCAGAGCCTTGACGCAACAGCAAAGTCCCAAAGGGACAGAAAAGGACAGAGCGCTGTGGGAAAGTTCAGTGCCCTTGAAGAAGCCTGATAAACCCAAGGTGATATGAACCCGCATGTTTGTATTGTGCAAATTTGTAACGACTACAAGCTCGCTGCTGATAGAGAGCCGTCTTGCACCATTTGTTTGCAGAAAACCTGCCCGTCCAAAGGGCAGGTCGAGCTGGGAGTGGTGGATTGTTATCTGTGTGATTCTAGTTTGTGATGGTAATGTAACACTGGGTGTATATTGGGGTTGTTGTTACACAGTGAACATACAGGTTTGGGCAGGTTTCAAACTGTTTTAACATATGAAAGGTTGTGATTACTTCTCCCCCTCCTTACGTTAGCTGATGGGATCTGCATTGTTCAGCAGGCACACAGATGTGTAACTTGACCTTCCTCTATGCAAATCATTTGAGAGCTCGCTCTCTCTCTCTCTCTCACTCACTCAACAAAGAGGGATAAAGTTCACCTACACCACGTTGCCACACAATGGGAGGGAGGAGCCAGACAGGCTTGAAGCGGAAATGGTTTCACACTGACTGACAAGTCTGGCTACTCCCAGGGTTGCCCTGAAGGACAACACACCACCCTGCCTCTTTTCGACACTTTTATTTTCACATGTACATTATCTACTTTGCTCATCAAGAAACATCTTTGCAGAGAACTCATTTCTGTCTTCCTTCCTGAGGCGGTGTGACGTGTTCCGCTCTCTCTCTCGTCTCTCCTCACATGATAAAATCGCCCTGATCAAAAAATGCGGTTGCCTAACAACAAGACGAGCAAAGTTCACCTCCCATGTAACTGCCAAAAGCTTTCCAGCTCTCACATGATCCTTGCCAAGTTAACCATTTACAGTGGGGAGGAAGAAGAGAGAGAGAGAAAGAGAGAGAGAGAGGCTTATTCTGGGTAAACAGGGTGCTGTGTTTGCTGTTTGAACTAGTTAACTGTGCACATTAACAAACCACATGCTGGGACATGAAACTTGTCAGGCTACAAAGTCATCCTACACCAAGACAAAGCTCCTTCCTCCTGCCGCAAAACAATGCATGAGGGTCAGAGCAGTGCTCACATTATGAAACCACTCTGTCACAAGACGAGTGCCTCACAGGAATGCTGTTGTGACACATACTCGCTGTTGACACAAGGGTTAAACATTGAATCACTCACACACACACACACACACACACACATTTCAGTTGCCAAAAGGGCGGGAGCTTTAACCGCTCCTGCACCGGTTGGTCGTCAGTTTGTATTTATCTTTCCACTTTGGCTGGCCACGTCCTCCGCCACCTCCCAACGGTCGGCAGGTTTATCAAAGGAAAAGTCCTCTCTCTCTAAGTGCAGCCAGGTGCAGCACAGTGTAATGATTCACACAGCAGACACAATACTCTACAGCAGATTGCCTCGCATGTTTGGAGCTTTGCAGAGGTCACTGGGTGCGTGTGTGTGTGTGTTGGATGCCATGTGCTGATCTCTGGCTCGGTGCTGGTGCAGAAGGTTCAGCAGGAGTTCAGCACAGATTCATTATTCATGCATTTTCTGTGTATCAAATGATGGCACCGGGGAGCCTCTTTTCTCTCTGAAAAGGTCCAAGTGCTCAAATGTTCCTCCGCTGTTTTCACTCAGTTGTATTTTTTTTTCTTTCTCTTTTTCAAATGTAGAGTAACAGAATTTGTGAGGAGGTTTATTTATTTATGCGCTCAGTGGGGCTGGATTTTTTAAACAGCGTTCCGTGTTTGTTTCTTGGATTTAGACGTTGCCATGTGCGCTAAGCACTGCACACGTATCGGTGTAATTCTTTACAGAAGGGTGTCAGTTTAATGTGTGTTGGCAACGCTTTGAAAAATCCCTGCTTAACAATTCGAGGAAAGCCAAGCCACCTGGAAATCTCATGACTTCCTGAATCTAATTCCAGGCCGAGCCATCAGACTGTCTGACTAGCAGCTTTCATTGAGGGGTGTAAACATTGAATGTCAGGCATGTTTTCCAGAGCCAGTGTTGAATCAGGCATTAGTACTCATGTAATGCCTGCAGTGAACTCAAATGCCCCGGCAAAGCCCTGATTATATTTTCTCCCTGTCTAACAGATTTATAGTACGCTGTGAACTCAAAGAGAAAGCTGGCACTGGCCAGACTCGTGAACAGGCCTCTCTACGTATACTATTCTTGTTGTTTTCAAATGCAGTCTGCACTTTACTCCAACCATATAATAACATATGTTAGCTAAGCCTTGCAGTTTTGATAACCTGCAATCTGAAATGTGCACCGAGCAAACAAGTCGACAGAAAAAACAGTGCAAAGGTATGACACCACCAAGGGAGAATCCAGAACAAAATCCCCTCTCATGTCACAGCACGCTGTGTTGGCGGACCGTGACCTCATCCAAAGTTTACACGCAGCCGCTGCTTTGTTATCTTCAAAACTTGCAAAGCAGCACATTCCAGCCCTCAGCGGCAACAAAAAATGTCAGCGTGCAGATCCTGCTGCGCTGTGAGAAACACGATAAGCAAATAAATGAACACTTCACCAAGTGAGCAGCCGCACATTTCAGAAAGTAAAAATACACAGGCACACACACACACAGTTTCATAAGCAGGAGGGCAGATGTATATAGGTCAGTTGTGGACTCTGATTGGAGCTTTGCGTGTCTGCTTACTCAGCAGCCTGCAACCAAGCTTAGCTTGCTTTCAGTCTTTTTTTAAACAGACCACAGGGTAGTAAATAGCTACGAGGAGGATCACAGCCTTCACAGCTGATTGGCTTGATGCTCGGCTGACATAAACAGGAAGCCGGCCGTGCGAGTCAGGGAGGGTAGCGAACAAAGGCGGAAGGACCAGAGACAAGCAGAATGTGGTGGCAAGACAAAGAGAGAACGTGTAAAAGCCTGAGGGATTTAGACTCGAGTGAAAAAAAAAAAAAAAGATCTTTCTGCCATGTGACTCATGAAGGAATTCAGCGTGTGATTCAGTCCTCTGCATTGTCAGCAGACAGTGTGCAGTGATAGTAATAATGAAGTGTGTTTGTATGGTAACAGTAGAGAAGACCACATAATGATGCCACTCATAAACTGTGATCATATAATATTCATTGTGTCCCTGCAGGGTTTTTTTTTTTTATAGCTTTATATGTTTACATATCGTCTGTGTTTTAATCTTAATTGGTGTGTCTAGGTGTAGTAGTGTGAATGAGATCCTGCTGCTGTGAAGCTTGTGTATTTTTTTTTTTTTTTACACCTTTTCAGAAAAGGATTGCACCTCTAATTGCACACTTCTTATTCAAGCGTAATATGTGAGACTTCAGTTAAAGTGATAAAATTTTCAGTTTTATTTGGATAAAGTTGAACAACTTGCGTATTACGTAAGTGAAGCATACAGTCACACGATGATTTCACTTCTCTGTATTTCACCCGTTTGGGTAAACGTTACACAAGTTCCCCTTTTTTTAAAAAAAAATCGGCTTATATATTTGTGTGTTTTTTTTAAGAAAGTCAAGAAGATATACATATTTAAGAGATTTCTTATCAGCTGTTAGTTTATAATCAAACAACCAGGAGTTGATAGTACAAGCTGATGTTGACAGATTGGGTGAAATTCATTTTATCTCCTCTTGATAGCAAAACCATTGTGAAGCCTCTGCTGGCTATGCGTGCAAAATGCACTGGGTTGTTGCATGCCTTTCAGAGGGCTGTGACACAGCCAAAGCACAGAGTGGAAATAATGAGTGACATATCAGACCTGCTACCCAAAGAGCTTCTAGAAAAACACCCCTCCTCCCTTCCTCCCCTGTCAACCTACTGTCCCCATGCCTGGCTTTGAAGGTCAGATGAGAAACAAGAAGAGAGAGCACTGCCGCCACCTCAGACTGACTGGTTCAAACAGGCCCTGGGAGGAAAGGGGGTGGTGGTGTGTGGGGCGTGGCCCACTGAGCATGCCCAGTGAGGAGGAATGCCTTGTGATGGCAACACAGTGGGCTCTCCCATCTGCTGATGGAGTGTGCACTTCTCGCCCCGGGCCCTTTTCCATCCAGTCTAGTGAGCAGCCAGATCAATTTACTGTGGAATGAACACAAAGTCAGTGGCTGACACACACACACACACACACACACATATTCACACATTCTTTATGTACAACAGCGACGCAGAGCCCTGCACTGCAGCAGGCAGTCGCGCAGACGAGCACGCATAGGAATTTACTCATGCATGCAAAAAAATAGTAAGGTAGAGGTTGAATCAAAGGGCTGATATATTATTCAGGGAAACTCCCTCTCTGCTCCAGCTGAAGTTTACAATGCCTCATTTTTTAACCTCACTGCACGCAACGATCAAAAACAGGAGAGTCGATATTCTGGCTGCTCTTCCTCCATCCAAATTCCTGTAACATACTGCTGACTCATCTGCTCCACGCGGGCTGAGGTCCCTTCATTTATCATCAGGGTGGATGGTGATGGCTGGCGATGGCGCTTTTAGGATGAATGGCGCTGACTGACATTTTCATTGTTGAGCTGCATGCTATTTCATCACCCCTAAATGCCAGAACAAGAAGCATCATTTCTGCGGAATGCTGTCATCTGTCCCCCCCCCCCACACACACACACATGCAAAGTGAAACCACATGTTTTCCCTCTTATGAATAATTGAGGAGCCCTGCCTTGTGTAGTTGAGCAGGCGCTGACTAGGCACCCAGGGTGGCACTCTTAACTACTATGACAAAATGGTGTAGCGTGAAAAGTGACATTTAAGTCATATTGACGCTAAGGCGCATTGTCAGGCCGCTTAATCGTCCGTGTGCGACAAAGCAGGCGAACGCACTCACGCCACCGGCTCGAGTAAAACTTCCAAAATAGGAGCTGTTGTGTCTCGAGTGCAAGCTCAGAAAATGTTAATTTCCTCAGCTGAATGCAAATCCAGGTGCGATTTTGTACTATCTGCTCACTCTTACATTATATGAATAATTGAAACATATTGTGTGTGTGGGGGGGGGGGGGGATCTAATGTGTTCTTTTATTTGCAGAGTCACGCCTGCGCTTTCTGATATGCTAATGAGTCTCCTCTTGAGT